TTTTGGGTCGCGATAGTGTCGCGCCCTCAGTGCTTGGGAGCCCACTATCGCACCCTGGAAGAACTTCTGCTGGTTGCCTAATCTGACGCTGGCTTAAGTCTGACAGTACCATGGTGGCCGTATACAGCAGTGATGTTGCAATGAACTGGCTACCATCGTTATAGTTCTGTCTTTAATCTTGAGAGGCATTCCAACGGTCCTATGCTTAATGAAGGAAGTGGTCCAGTATTATATCCTAAGACACGAAGGGAAAGTTACATAGTGAATTGGGTAGAGTCCTACCCCAATGAGGCTGATAGTTACACTTTCAGTTTGGTGCTTTATTTTGTCGTACTTACTCACATGGTGATAAGCGCCGCACCCACTTCGAAGAATCTCACCCACGCTTCGTTTGAGGAGCGGTGAAGATTGCAACGGCAGATGCGTACCGTGATATAACCGTTCGCCCGTCATCGTCCATGTTTCATTTGGAGTGGACCTTATTCGAAGCAGCCGCTCTTCTAATCCTCACAGTGGCGTTTCAACAAGTAATGTGGACAACCCTCAAAAATCCACGTTAAAAAGTTACTCAGAGCGCTTCGTGCATATGAAGCCCTCTCGTCAATCGTTTTTTCGTGTCAGACAACTATCGATGTTAAGTTAAGCAGGATTATATTGTTGCCTTCTTTAATAGGAAAAATATGGATTGGATCTCTTGTTGTTTCAAAAGTATGTGGACACTTGAAGGAGATCAGATTTTGGCGCCGAAATTTCCACCGGTTTCAATCCGAATTTGCTGTTTTCATTTCGTCATCATGCCAATTCGTGGCATACTTCTTCCTGAAGACAAGCAAGCTCAGATCAGGCTCTGCATGATAATGAACGTTCCAATCTAGAAATCGCACGATAACTTCGGTCGTTCCTCAATGCATTCGAAGAGATTTATCCGGCACCCTGATAATTATACTCAGCACACACTCCGCTCCATCCACGATCCTTGACTGCTTAGAACGGAGTATCCTGAGGGAATTTTTCATTGTCTGTCCACCCTTGAGAACGACCATTAAGCGCCTCATTCCATCTCGAATGAATACACATCCACTCGACCACACGTTGAGAACGCTACTTCACTTCAAGGCCACATTGGAGTCTGCTCGTACAGACACGGCAACATAGGATAGGACACCGGGAGCGAAGACACGGTTTTTCGAGAATTTCCTATTTTCAAAACAAGCAACTTTTATGGACTTTCTCTCCTCAGGTAATCTTAACTCATGAAAGAGTTCGATCTTGACGGGCCGGGTGGATTTTGCTACTACTGGAGAGGCTTGGCCGTGAGTCGCTCGTGCTCTCGAGAAGGAATTTCGGAAGAGGCCCGTTGATGGGTCTGCGGCGGTTTCGCAATCAGCGGAAATTCAGAAGTTGCCGTTCCATTATTGCGTATGAACTGTAAAGAATACCAAGCAGTGCTCCAATGTCACCTGTTGCCTTTTCTTAGCGAAGCGGAGCGAAAATTGCATTTTTAGCAACAGGACCACGTGTCTTTCGATGCTTCGCAATCTACCAAAGAATGGCCTTAACCAAATGGTGCTGAAGCGATAGATTGGCTTGTGTGTCCTCCTTACTGCAACCCTATAGGGAGCCCTTGATCAAGGACTTTAACAACCGGCAGTACAATACCGCGGATGAACTGAAGGTAGAGGCTATTTGGGCCGACATCGAAGGACGGTTCCCTTTCTCAGCTCATATCTCAAGTTTCGATAACAAGTGGAACTCAATTTCCCTGGAAGTCAGCGCGATCGCTTATATTTTTTCTAACCATAAGTGCTGCGTTGTTAATCAAAGGATGATGTATGTTGGCACGATAGTGATGATCGGGACTAGATTATAACCTTTGACATATAAATAACCGAAGATCAGAAGAAAAACATGGAAGCAAGGGCCTTGCTCGGGGACGGAAAGGAAGAGATGATTCTAGATATGAAGCAAAAAACTTGCACGGCCAAATGAAGCGATAGAAGAAAAAATAGGAGAAGTGGTAGCAGAGGAGAAAGGTTGAAAGCCATAGACATGAAAGAAAGGCTTGGCATCATAAGGATCCCAAACGAATATATAAAAAAGGCTGACGCCAAGGGCGGATGTGAAAGTGTCCACTGCTCTGCCTTGAATGTGAGCAAGGCAATTTACCAGAAGGCAGCAATTTCCTTTCCTGTAACTATAGAGGCCACGTCCTCAGATCAATTAGGGCAACTTCCACACCAAGTCTGCAACAGGCTATCCCTATAAAGCATGAGCTCATATCTGCCTAGAATGAATGTCCCCCCTGTCAGGTCTATATAATAGTGGGAAAAGACGCAGACTTCGCTACACCTTCATGGATTCTCTGGAGGATGTGCCCACAAGCAACTTCAGAGAAGTGCAAAGCTCTCCCAATGGGAAACCGCAATAGAAAGTCCACATCAAACGGAACCGTGCCCACAGGCTTCAGAAAAGGTTTTTGTAGCTGTACGTGGTGGACTGTTCGGAAAGGTCTGGTGTCAAAAGGGTTGATTACTGTAGTAGTACTTCTTACTGCTCTTTCCGACTTTGTACCCACAAAACTGTCAAACAGCAAAAAAAAAAACTCAAAAATAAGGAAACAACTTAGGAAACGGTACCTATGAAAATCGTAAAAACCCTTAGAAAGTAAAAAAAAATCAAAGGCTCATCCGCGTCGAAGTGCTGTATTGATCATCGTCAACTCGTCGAGAAAGTTTTTCTTTGAGGCTGTAGACTTTCGTAGTGAGAAACTCATTTACATCTTGAGTGAAGTAGAACCTCTTCAACTCCTTCGCAATCTGAAAATTATTTCCGATGCTCAACTACCAATTTCACAATTAAATTAGGCTTATTTGGTACATCGTTCGCCAAGTCTTCCACTTCCTGACTGATCGTTCGCGGTCATATTTGGCCACCGCCCGAACCGTTCCACTTTCCATTCCAACTTATGAAGATCGACCATGATCTAAAGCAATTCCATAGCACTGAATATCAAGTGATTCGCTCACTCACTGCTACTCTCTGCCTTCGCTCCAGCTCAAAGGAAAGCTCAAAAGCCTTGTCGATGGAGCTGCACGTCGTGAATATTTCGAGTATGTACAGATCAACTCAAATTATAACGCATTCACTTCGCGCAGCTCCAGATGGCTGCCAAGAAGGTGCTCGTGAGACGATTGCAGCCCCACAATGAGTTTGCCAAGCTAGCCTCGCTTTGCCAGTCCCCAATATGGCATTTTTTTGGTACTTGATTGCGAACAAAATAAGGACAAATGCGTATCCATAAACGGCGGAATTCATCAATGGTTCATCTTAGGAAAATTTTTCTTGAGGCGTATGAATTTGTTTTTTCTGATATGATTAATTTCTCTTTTTCGTTCATTGCCACGAGCATGATGAAAAATTTGCGTAAAAATAAGAGAGCGCTTGTGAAATCGGAAAGATAAGCTGCTTAAAGGCAAACTCCGGGACAAAACGTGGAACTTACCTTTTCAACTATGAAGTACTGGGTGCTAAGTGAATCGAAGCTAAAGAAAAAAAGCAGGAAGTACTTCCAAAAAAGTCCAAAATAAGCAATTTCTCTTCGTTAGACGCTTAGAAGCCAGGGCTGGGAGAATTACGTGTCTGGACGTGTCCACAGCAACTGTTGGCTTTATGCCAGCAACCGACACGGCTACAAAAAATCAGCAGTGAAAAGTGATTGCCTCTAATTTCGCTATTTTTACTATTTACCTGTACGTTTTTTGTTTTTTCCTAACTCAAAAATTTGATTATCACTAGAATGAATGACTAGGTTCTCGATAATGGTCTTAATATAGGCTTTGATGTTGGTTTTCGCAGTTGCGATTCGCTAAATATTCCTCTACGACCTTCCAAATAACAACTTAACATCTAGTGTTCCATGTGGTTGTTTGGAAGGTCGCATGGAAAAGTGGGCGGGCTCAATGGGGTTGGGGCGGCGGGCTAATGGGGTTGGGGCGGCGCCAATGCTCCAACCTGGGCTCCTAGCGCCTAAACCTTGTCAAATCGCCCCGCCACTTCTGCACATGGATCTGCCCTTGCGTACTGCTGCATATTTGACGGGGAAAACCTAAATTTCGCCAGAAATCCCGAACTTTGCCTTTAAGTCGAGCAAGCCTGAAATCGCTTTAGCTATCACAGTGGGGCAAGTGAAACTGAAATTCATTTTGTAACATTCACGTCGTTGTTCATTTTTACAATAGTAAAATCCAGTGGGCGGCATCGACTCAAAAAATCGCTTCGTCCGGCGGCTTATCTGAAAAGTGGAAAGGGACGTCTCGAATGTGATAAAGTCCCAGCACAGCCTTTATGAGTTTACAGCTTCGAACTAGCCAACGCCGTTTTAAAGAGGCCTTCCATTGAAATCACAAACTTTCAAGAACGCATCCTTGTGAGGGAAATATGTCATATCCTCTATTTTTGCGGGCGTAACCACCACCTGATCCATTCGATTTGGGCAATGCAGGATATCCTGAAAAAAAAAAAAATCCTTACAAGTCAGAACCACTAAGGAAATGCAAAATAGAAAAAGGAAGTTCAAAGAAATGCATCGTGGAAACTGCCTACCAACGAGATAAAAGGTAGACTTTGATTCCACTAAGCACCATTCTGTATTTACCGCCCAGGTTCAAATATGCAGCTCTTGGCATAGTGTATAGGCCATTAGCGCCGCTTACCCTAGCGATCTAAGAAGCAACGCTCCCACGCGTGATCGAATCACAAAGGCCAATAGTGTGCTTTCCGATCCCCTCCAGGTTAGTTGAATGGCATCCAAACCCATGAGGGAAGACGAAAATATTCACTTTTATATTGACTGGACCGCGATTTAATGTACTTACCGGTGTGGCTCCGCGCATATCGAGCAGTGGCTTTAGCGAAACTTCGCAACCCGTGGAGCAAAGTTCATATGTTTAACTTCTCTTTTGTGATATTGCACGTCAGATATTCATGAAATTCCTCTCTGCTCAGCGCGCCCTCTCGCTCTCCGAAATCTTGCGAAGAAGCTCCGTTCTCTTGGCATGTTGTCGCTCTTCTCGTCTCTTACGGGCTTCCTTGTTCTTGTCACGTCTTGCTCGAGCTTGATCAGCGAGTTGCTTAGCACGCTTGTTCTCACTCTTCTTTCTGAAGATGTACTCCATAAGATGTTTCTTGTTCTTGAAGTTGTTACCCTTGGCACGGAGGTAGAATGCTCGTGTATAGAAGATCTGTCGATTATATCCTTCGACTCGCGATCCTCTTAACACAATCGTCGGAGCAGCAACGCCTACGTCTCAATCCCACAACGAAAAACTTTCTGGCCAATTATGTGCCGTGCCTTATACGAAGCCAGAATGCCGTCCCTTCCTGGGAGCTTCCTCATAGAGGCAATCGCGGTAACGTGAGTGAACCACTTCCGGTTTACGGATGAAGAAATCTTCTTCGAGCGACGAATATTTTGCCTCGAGTTGGCGTTGGAGATTTCGCTGACCTCGTTGGGATCGAGCCAAATTTTGTTCTTACCGCATTGCAGGACAGAAGGCGGCAAGGCGCTTTTGGAGACGCAGTTAACTCATGTGCGCTTGTTTTCCTAGCAGAACCTGGAAAAGAGTAGTAGTTTTTTTAAACGTATCCAGTCGAAGATAATGTGAGATACTTCAGCTAATGGTTTCACAGCTTCTACAGCTTTACAGACGCCCTTACCCAATGCGCGCGTTCACCGTGGGAGCCAAACTGGTAATGCAGCAGCAAGTTTTCGCACCATCCACTTCCATGCACTAGTAGCACCTCCGCTGCTCACTTCTCTACTTTCTCCTCTATGAAGGGCGGTCCTGAAACTGAATTATGACGCTTACTGACAATCTCCACAGTTCAGTGCCTGTGAATGCTTTTGATCTTCTTCCTTCGTCATCATTGCTCACTTCCCGGTCCCTAAACTTTCTCTAAACCAATTTGTACGGTTTGTGGCGAACTCCACTCGTGCTCTCGGTGCAGACGCCACACCCAAATAGATGTTGACGCCCTCTCCTTCGCCGACCCGCTTTCACCTGGTCTGTGAACTGTCCCTCAACCAATTTATAAGTTTAGTGGTAAACTCTGCGCGTATCCCCGCCCACAACAGACTGACCTCATTCCTACGCCAACCTCCACTTTTTCCCGGTCCTCGAGACCTTGGACCCGAGTAATTAAGTTGGCACCAATAGCAGTTCCCTTCTCCCCTTCGCCGACATCAGTCCACCCTTTCCCGGTTCCAGGACCTTTTGAAACTCGGGTACCTCAACAAACCTTCGGCTCGATTTGGTGCATTGTCTCACCACCAATAGCGGGTGACCAATACCCGCGCCGCAATCTAACATTGATCATCTCCCTCTCGGACTTCAACCCACCTTGTTCCCGCTCTCTAAAACTTCTCGGAAACGAATTGTGAGGACTTGTAGGAAGAGGCGTCCTTGAACAGTCATCGCTGGTTAGTCTAGTGTGGCTACGGCCTTGGCCATCAATGTCTGATGGGAACTATAATTAGACCATGCTTAAGCAGAATACCATACGACGGCTAGTGTATTATTCGCAAGTGCCACCTTCGTGCGCACGGCCGTCGCGTTATGGTTAAAATTAGCATTTTTATTTTAATGCTCTTGTAGCTTTTTCTAAACGCGCATCTATGAATTTTCTCGAAGCACTCCTTATTATAGAGAGAGTCCGCCAATGCAGGTCAAAGGTGATTCTCTATTGATCTGGCTTAAGCAAAGGCAACCTTCACCGATTTTCCGGTCATCATTTTCATCCCGGTCTCTAGGCGGTTTCGGAATGGAATTTGAGATTTTCGTCGTCAGTATCACTCATTTAGTGCATACTAACGCAAACTGTGGGCGAGAATCCGGCTTGACTGATGTGTATTTATGCTTCTCAAGACATGGCAACCCATCGCACCTTAAAAGGCACGCTCCGCGATCAGGCGGGCTCGCCTGTTCCATCCAGGGGGTAGTAGGCAGGTGGACAAGTGTTGATGTCGGGCCCCTTTTGCGGCTTGAAAGTACGCGACAAAGGCGCAAGGAGCTCGTCCAACCCGCAACTCACACCTTCGTCCGCAAGCCCCACCCTTCGCTGTCGGTTGCCACGTGGCGCTGCTTGAAAAGCGCGGCGCATTTGAGGCAGTGGTCAATGTTATTGACACTGGAGCAAGTAGAGTTAGGTTCGTGAAACTCGTCCAATTCGCCTCTTCTCTATCCCAAGGTGGAATGTGGCTGAAATAGGGGAGGTCTCTGTACGGGGCGTAATCGGTGGTTTCGTTTGCTTTCCTTCTCTTTTACAGACCACCTCCCACCTATAGCTTCATACGCTTTTCCACACCTATTTTATCCCGAATCTTGCTTTACCGTCTCGCCAGGACGATCTTTCAGATATGGGGATTTTGTGAGAGTCCGTGACAGGAACGAACATAGAACAACAGAACAGGACAAGAGCGCTTCCTATTAGAGTTAGTGCACAACACACATCAAAACAAAGAACTTTGATTGGAGTGGGGTGACGGCGCATCCCAATACAAGTTCAGGTTCGACTCGTAATGCCTTTATTTTTTTCCTTTGTGAACTAGCAATCACTATGCGTATGCGATGGTATTCGATTTTTGTTGAAATTCGACATATGTCCCATTAGTACGGAGTTCGCGACAGCAGGGTCAACCGTTACGTTGGACCGATATTGGAGCGACGTTGGACCGATGTTCACCGCTCTCCGCGCCGGCATTCACTCTCGCCACCCGCGAGCCGTCTGTGTCTCCGTGCGTACGTTCACTCTCGGCATTAGCGTTGGACTTTGTCCAACGGACGGTTGACCTGGCTGGTTGCAAGCCGACAAATGTTTACGTCATCTTTCCTCAGTCACGTGCGTGATCGTTCGGGACCAATTATTTAGCATTCTTAGGTATGAAAGCTGGCTTGCCATGAGGTTTGATCCCAATGAACACGTGTCGTCCGATGCGACATATTTCTACACCTGCACAAAGCGTCATTATTTGTACATTTTTCTCACCCTAAATGAAAAATAAGCTCACTTACCCTGACATAATTCCACATCTCGTTGCGGTCACGCGTGACATCTTGGATGTATACGAGGTCGGTAGCCAGTGATGGAATTGAGATGGCGAGCAGCTCACACAATGGCGCTCGATGCATGTAGCGTTGCCATCCAGTAAGAATTATACCTCCTACATGCCCGCCGATACTCTGCAAGATAAGTAGTACATGAGAGACAATCACTGCAAAACAAATAAAAGAGGGACCTCAGTCTGTTTCATGCGCAGAAGTACATCGTTCATGTGGATTACATAAAAGGAATAAAGGAAAATAAAGAGAAAATCTCAAAGAAACGGAGTTTCTCTGGCGGAACACAGTGTCGTACAGTTAGTAGTCTACCTGTGTTACCGCAATGAATCAAACTAATAATTGATCGCAAATATGGAGAAACATACGTCTTTATGCTCCTGTAAAGCTCATAGACATATGGTTTTCGCGGTAATCGATCGAGATCAATGAATTTCGTCTTTCGAGGCGAGCTCCTTTAAAATGCCGCGAATAGAATCGTTGAAACACCTGAAAATAATTTCAGTCATCAAAAACCTTGAATGGATTATCCATTAGAAGATGCATCTGAGAGCCATGCATTTCCGCACCAGCTTTATTCATTATAATCTGAGTAACCTTATCAACCTTCAAAACTTTCACATTGGGACCGCATGCAGTCTGTTGCAGACTGTCCGATACGCGTAACAACCATAACTGCAGTCCCACCAGCTCTGAGACAGAATATTAAGGGAAGCTTACGGTCACTGTTTAAACTAAAAGGAGCTAGAAGTGGTAACAAGGGTCAAAGTTTGTCGGCCAGTAAATAGGGGGGTCGCGCTCGGTTGAATGTAGAGAGGGGTGGGGTTTTGTTACTCCGGGTTGATTCCGTGAAAGGGGGTCTTATATACAGTGGCGCTCAAAAGTCTTCGGTGGAATGCTCTTTCAAGCGTAACTTTTTTCCTACTGCATGAAATCCACCGAAACTGCAGTATGTTGATCAATGACATATTGTGAATAATTGCGGCTATTTGGCCGCAATGCGCTTTAGTTCACGGTACATTAGTGAGATCAAACTCAAGATCAGTGCGGAACACGGATAGCATAGGCTTAGGAAAAACCATTTTATTCGAGATAACAAAATGCAATATACTACAAGCATCAATATTTTGTAGGAAAACCTCGACTACTGATGACAGCGGCGCAGCGCGAAGGCATCGAACCGATAATTTTTTGGATGGTAGACATTGGCATGGCGTACCACTCTTTCACTAGTTCAGCGAACTTTTCTTCTTTGTTTTTGCTATATTTGCCGGAACAACGTCTTTTGAGCTCTTCCCACATGTGCTCTATGGGATTTAGATCGGGGGATTGGCTTGGCCATTCAAGAAGTCTGACTTGCTGCTCACAGTTCCACCGAAGACTTTTGAGCGCCACTGTATATCAGTCGCTTGAAATCACATGTGAGTATGAGGTGAAAGTAAAATTTTTATGGGTAAGTAGGCTGGGTGAATTGAGGGGCGCAGGAAAAAATTGGCCGTTTCAGCGCGCGCTCCCTACTCCACCCCCGCTCGATGACATTTTTGGGGGGAAAAAGTGGGCGGAGTTTGGTGGTTGAGTGGTATCAGAATTAAATACTATAGAGACGATGATGGTGGTCGAGGTGTGGAAAAGGGGGTCGTATCAAATCCACCTTGGGGGAGGGGGGTCGTAAAAAATTTTTCAAAAAGTAACAACGATAGGGTTGACCCTGCTTGGGAACTGGTCTGGAAAAGAGGAAGAAAGCAAGAGAAACCCCCGATTACGCCCTGAATGAGGAGTCCCTCTACTTCTGCCCGCATTCCGTCTTGGGATAGAGAAGAGACGCGCTTGGAAGAATTTCACGAGCTTAGCTCCAGTTGCTCCAGCGCCAACGACATTGAACCGCAATGGAACCGCTGGCGGCAACCAACTGGCCTCCCTTTTCAAAGCAAGCGCAAGGCAACGACATCGGAAGGACGGCTCGCGAAGAAGAGTGGATACTTGCGGTCACCAAGCGAGCTTCCAAAAGCGCCTCACTTCAAAGGCGCAAAAGAGGTGCGACATCAACGCTTGTCCGCCTGCCTACCACGCTCGGGTATGGAGCAAGTGAGCGTGCCTTCAAGTTTTACCCTTAATTTCACCTCCATTCCATTCGATAAGGTTTCTTCTGCATCATATAGTTCTTCTCAATTTCGTAATTAGATTCCTGAAATTTTCACTGTCCCAGATGGACGCAAAACTTTTGAAGCATGCGCGGTTCTCCAAAGGCTATACTAGAAGTAATGTTTGGAATGCAACAGAGAGCCAAAAAAGCATAGATATTTTGAGATTTGGTGCCTGATTTTGGCAGTCCACCTTTTCGGTACAGAAAGCGGCAAAAGAAACGAGTGTTTATATAGGTCTCGCTAACTGATTTCATATTAACTCCAGCAAAATCACATTTTCCCCCACTAGCCTCCAATTCGTCATCAGAGCCCCAGGTATCCCCAATCACATTTGCAATGACAGCGGTCCTCCCAGTCAATGTGTGGATGTCCACGCAAATGGCGCGTGCCAAGCTCAACATGAGCATCTCCGCGTCTTTTCGTCTCTTTCGGCGGAATGCGACAAAACCCAGCAATTCTACATGTATGTTTATACCTCACGGAAAGAAGTATTCTACTCTTCTGATCGTGAGATGTTCCGAAAAAGCAATATGACTATTCAAGAGGAATCGTGAATTAGGCCGCGCAGCCGGAGACCATAACGGCAAAACCCTTATTCGAGAAAGCATTGTCAGCTTTTCCAATTTAAGAAAAGTACAACCAATGCCATCATGAGATATTACGAAATAACCGCTCCATTGATAATTCTAGAGCATTCTTGTCGATCCTTTAGATAAAGATAAAAATAAAATTGCAGGTTCAAGCGCAACTAAAATTGGTGGAGGAGAGGAGCGCACAAAGTGGTGTGATACTTTGAGTCACCTAAAGTAATCCAAATTTTTGCAAAGAAAGCAGACTAAGCAAAAGACACCGCTCGAAAAGTTCACAATAAAAGATATTAGTCATGGTCATAAATCAGTCAACGCCTGCCACCCTAGCTCTTCACTACAGTTGACCCCAGTCATAGTTGAGACCCTCGCATTGTTTAAGAACCAGAAAACATTTATAAATCACCTGAGGTAGCCTTTCGAACAGTCCCGGTGGGAAATATCCTTCCTCTGTGACATCAATTTTGTAGCCCCAAACAACTGGGATAATCAAATCTCCCAGTCCAGCTGCACGAATATCTTCTACCAGCGACTTATCGAACATATCATTCCAAGCGAAAACCTCCTTGAATCCGGCGCCTTTTGCAATTCGCGCCACCCTAAAAATCGCAAATACTTTTCTGTACATCATCGAAGAAGTAAACTGACTCGAACAATCTTTTGAAAGCCGTAGTACCTACTTGGCTATGTGAGCAAGTTTAAGCTTTTCAGTTGCTCTTCGCTGGTCGGATAATCCCATTTGAGAGATACGAGCACGGCATCGATCATCCTCAGCGATATGGAATGCCTCATCAGCACCAATATGTATACGTTTCGACTTTGGGTGGAGCGCACGAACCTATAAACAGTCCCTTTCAGGAAATAAAAATTGCTTCTGGTTACCCAAAATTCAGCCGGACGAAATGAAAAGTAGAGTGGCCGGATTGATTTTTCTACGAACCTGATTAACCATGGTTTCTATAAGCTCAATTGAACGTTCATCCGACGGACATATCGTATCATCCTAAAACATCAAGAACTTTTAGAAGCATTGCTATCTGCTATAAAGGACTGTGTCAATTGCGGTCTGTCTACGTTCCAGAGTCACTAAATTCATCAAACGCGTTGCAGCAGCGGTGCGAAATTGAATACAGGGGGCTGAACGGGAACACAGATGTTGGGCGACAAAAACTGATAGCAAATTATGAGCATGGCCATTCTCGTTGCGCCCTTCGCGGTGAAAATTGGAGCATTTGCCTTTCCGGTTGTGTGGGGAAATGGACGGAGGCACAGATGGTGGATGATCGAAAGTGATAACAACATAACAGCTTCTAAATTCTGTTAGAATTATTATGTGATTAAATTCATGCACCATTAGCGGCTACAGTAGGACGTTGGTAGCCTCATCCCTAGAAGGGCGCAAGACGGGAACAGAATGTGGGTGGTAACTGTCAAGAAGGACTGATAAGTGGTGCCTGAATGCGAATTTCTACAATCCCGCTACCTCTAGCGCAAATATTATGTAGCGCTCTGATTGACAAATGATTAAACTGAGAGGATGATGATGATTGTGTGACAGGAAGTAGCTTTATTCAGAAAGCCATAAGAACGTTGACAAATGACAGAGAAAATTGAGTGGGACCAATCATCTACCACGATCTACAACCTATTCGGCTAAACTAACCATAAGCTAAGCGTTGTCAGATAAACTTCATTCTCGACCAAATATCAAGAGTAGCAAAATTTATTGAATCGCTATA